GTGTGCGATCAATGTTGTGATCACATGGTTCATCTGTGCAGAGTACGATCGCACCATTCAGTTTGATTTGAACATTTAAATTTGCTTTCGCTCTGCCGCTGACCTGAAGAGAGCATCTGTCTGTCATGAATGAAACAGCTTCACAGTCTTTTCAGTCACACAGTATCATCATTTCTGTGTTACAAACATTCAAGTCACAGAAGTACTGGCATAAAAGTTTATAGTTTAGATATAAACTGTGTGTACGACGTGTATGGTAGCGATTAAAATAGGGTAAATCACCTTTTGAAAGTAATTTGACACTTCAAATGAAGATTTATCGATTACATTGTTATGCCAGTAGGTGGCGAAAAGGGGCTGTTAAAATGTATTTGTCTTTGAATCATACAAGAGATTCGTTCAAGAACGCTGATTCATCCAGTAATGAAACAAGTATCTTGAGTGAGTCATTTAATCATTAATTCATTAATGTGATTTTGTTTAGTTGTCTAATGTTTTTTCTTCAGAATCATGAGAGAACCACAACGTCCATTGGGGAAAGAAAAAAAAAAACAATTTATCCAGAATCATGCAGTTCTATTTTGCACACAAACAGCTCTTAAAGAGTCCAGTTTTTATGTAGCCTGTTGATTTTTGTTCATGGTATTCAGCTCCAATAAATGGTTTGCAAAAAAGAGACAGGATAAATGTTTGATATTATTGAATCACATTGTCATCGAAAAGAATCGGAATCGATAAGCAGAATCGGAATCGGAATCGGAATTGATCAAATTCAAACGATACCCAACCCTATTTCAGACCATGATTTGCTACAAATTGGTCACAATCTCATAACATTACATATTTACATCTTGGTGAGCAACATCCAGTTATCTATTAAATAAATACAGCCTTTATTTGCTTTTTTTGTGTGCAAACAAAATCTATCTTAACTTTTGCCACACAAAAGTACCAAAACATCACAGTTGATATTGCTTTTGGTTCAATCTTGACTTTTTAGATAGAAGTTATGGACAAATGCAGTGATTCATGGGATACGGAATCCCACACAGTATGCTCTGGTTGCATAAAATCTGGGTTTTCCATGCGTTGCATTCAGAAATTGACATACTGTCAAAATTTGGAAGGACACAGAGGAACCACGTCACACATTTCTCAAATTGCAATAAGCAATATCAGTGCTCATTCACATTTTAGATTAAAAAATGTCCGAAAATCTTTCGCACACACTAACCGACAGCGAGACGTTGATGGAGGTGAGTTCTTCAGCCTTCTTCTCCAGAGAGCCGACCCATATCTTGCGTTTCTGTCTGCAACGAGAAGCTGCTGCCCGGTTCCGCTCCAGGAAGCGCTGCCTCCTCTCATCAGGGTCGTCATCAGTCGTCCTCCGCCTGCGACCTCCGGTGGGCTGAGCGGGTGACACCTGAACACAGCAGGGCAGAGTAAACAGAGATGTTTACTGCGTAATGCCACAGCAAAGTGAAAGATTGCTCCCTGACAAACACAATGGCATCTGTTGTATACAGAATGTTTACACTCGACAATTGGAGTGTGAAGATATGCCATACCTGTGGCTGAGCAGGGGATGGGGCGTCTGGATGCTGGACCAGCAGCTGGCTTTGCTCCACTCTCTGAGGGACCATCGCACTGGACCCCATCGCCACACCAAGGCAACCCTGAGCTGTGGGCATCTGCTGAGATAATGCTGCCTTCAACCTCTAAAGACAACAACAAAAACATCATGGTAGTATGGCACAAGATGGCATTCTGTCTAATTATAAGGCAGCTTACAGCTTCACATTCAATTTTATTACTCTTTCATGTGGAATGGGCATTTCATAAAACTGTGAACCGCAACTCATCAAGCACTGAGGAGAGAAATCATGTGACAGAAAGGAAATAACAGTGTGAACTTCTGCATTTTATTTCTATAGTTTAGGACGTTCATCTAGATTTTTTCTCCATGGCTTTTTTTTTTTTTTTTTTTTAATTTTTAAGAAAAAATCTCATTATACGTCCAAGTCCAAGCATTGACAAAGTTGAGCAGGAAATCCAGAGAGGAAGTCATGTCTATTGACGGGAAGTACGTAAAACACATCAGACTATAGACAGGCCTTCACAAGTACAAGTTCCAAGAGAATATAGACTACTTTAACGCTCACCACATAGAAAAAGAGACGTGCCAGCTAGTTATTTAATGGAGCAGACTAATGCCACATAGCTAAGCTAAAGCTAATTATGTTAAATATAGATATGTCCTGAGAAAAGTATAAGAATAATGAGATTAGACAAAACTATAATGCAATTCTTAGTTAGAGTCAATATATTGTGCATCGGGAAAACTTTAATGTTTTGAGCATAGCAAGAAAACGTGTCTGTTTACATTCTTGCTCTTATTTAGAGGATGCTCATGCAGAAATGGACAGAGAGGACCTCTTTGCAGAAATGGGCTACGCAACAGGAGAGACACAAAGTCGTAAAACTTACCCCATTCCGGTACAAGGCATCTAGTGATTGTTGTAGATGCAAATGAAACAATGACTGAAGGAACGAAGACAAAAGCATACGATTAAGACAACAAATACCTTACGGTGTGCTTGAGATAGGGTGTTTTACAGAAAGGTATAATGCGAGCAACAAAGTCTTTATCAGCATAAAGATTGTAAGGCCTATAATAATGAGCCTCAAGATGCCTCATAACAAAAGAGTTGTTCCAAACATTGAATATATTGAATTAGTCTGAGCAAACATCTCGTTAAATATTATAACTTTGGTTGGAAACGGGTTTGTAATGCTCCTCATAGAAGTAAAAGTATTGGAAATATTTTATGGTCTTTCTTGTTTCTATTAAATGTAGGTTAAATGTATCACTGAGCTTGCAAAAATTAATCGTGCAGCATTATGTTAACTATGAATCGTGCACTCTGGACTCAGTACGGTAATCTATAACTTTTTTTTTTTCTCCCAAAAACGCACTAGCAACCTAGGCTCAAATTAGGTTAATTATGCAGTGCTTGTCTGCTAGATTAACCTCATACTTAAACATGTCTTAAACACGTGTGTGTGTGTGTGAATAACCTTACACATCTCTCAAGAAACCAAGACACGTAGTGCTATTTATTAATAATCAAGAGAACATAAACATAGCAAAATGTGTTGCGTTTTGTTACTTTTTCTAGTGTTATTTTAGTATTATTTACTATTATGGTTTTTATTAATAATTTGAATTGGCTTTTATTTTTACATTTCAGTTTTCATTTCAGTTTTAGAATCAAATGAGCCAAATGACACAGCCCCACTAGTCGTCAAACCACCCACCAACTAGCCTATTACAAAAAAATAGTTATTTTTTGCATTTCTTTGTATAACAAGTATATTTGAAATACAAACTGTTAATGACAGAGCTGCTTTGTTCCAACAGCCTGTGTTTGTTTGTTGTGAGAACTATCACCCATGTGATGTGCTGGATAAAGACTTTCAACATGGAAACACTAGGCAAGCCAAGGCATTCGAGCATTTTGCAAAATGATCCACAGGCTGGATTAGGAAGAAAATAGATTTGCCCTCACCATCTTTGCCTCATTGTGGGGGTTATAGCCTGAGGGTGAAGATGAGCCGCTACTGCTGCCCCCTAGTGGAGGGCCGGGAATTCCTGGAATGTTGGGCACCATACACAAGGGCCTCACCAGCTACACCACAAGGCCAAATGCATAACATATTATGAGGCAAATTATGAATGACTCCAAAGATCAGAAATGACAGCTCACTTTAAAAGAGAAGTGGGTCATTTTTGAGCTACAAGTGACACTGTGCTGAAACAAGGGGGTTGTATGGCACTTTAACATTGGAAAAATATTACACACTTTGTCTTGAATTGAATCACAGCAAAGTCCCTTCAAGGTAAGTCACGGGAATCTATTTTCTAAGTAATAGGTACTGGAAGACTGAAATCTCCAACTGTTTGTCAGGATTACATTTCAATAATATATTTCAAATCAACAAAGTTTGCTTCTTTAACTCAAATTATGCTAACACAAGGCATTTTTACAGACTCCTAAACATGATACTAAGGACCTCTTTCTCAAATTATAAAGGCAGCTATATATTTTAAAACTGATATATATTATGTGAGAAAAAATAGTGTGATAAGAAAAACAAACTTGTAACATTTTTTAATAAAAATGAAATAATTAATACTATTGTTACAAAATAAACTATTTAAATATTATCTGGAAAATATCAGTATTTATAAAAAAAAACTCAAAATAATTATAAGTTACTGTGAACTTTTCCTAAGTGCTATTTTAGTATTATTTATATACTATTATAGTAGTTATTAATACATTTTGCATTTATTTTTAAATGTCCAGTTTTCATTTAAATTTTAGTTTTAAGTTTTAGTAAATTTGTAATGTCCTTTGTCATTTTGCTAGTTCTATTTAATGTTATATTCTGTTTAGCCATCTTAGTACTTTAACTAAAACTTATTTTATTTAAGTTTCAAGGCAACAGGTTTTTTTCACATAATATTTATATTTTACTTTATTTCAGCTTTTAATTTCAGCAGTTTTAATTACAATGAATTTTCCACAGATCTTGCAGACCCTATTATGAAAACCAGTTTTACAGTAAACAAAAAGGCAAGTGTCACCAACTCTCCCATTCCTTTTCCTTTGAGTGGGCCATCTCTTTATACTCAACATATTTAGATTCCAATACTCAGAAATACACTTCAAACTTACAGATATTACAGAGGGCATCTGCATAGGACCTGGAAGCACAGGAAATGTTTGACCATTGGGAAGCATCATCATTGGGTACGGCACTGTTGGAGATCTAAAACAGAAGGAGAGAAATGCCCAGTTTGCACAAGCAGTGAGAGCAGAAAGCAATGCACAGACTGAAGTTCTGCTCTCTTCCTGTCCACTATCTGACCAAACATTCGTGGAACGTCAAGCACAGCATAAATGAGCCAGCTGCCCACAGTCTCCTAAGCATTACTACCAAATCAACTTATAGCAGCACAGTGAGTCATATAGAAATGAGTCACACAGAATAAGCTGACGGCCAAAAACACGGGGTTGTGCTCTTACCCCAGTGTGCGGTTGGATGGTGGGGTGTGTGTGATGACAGAGGTAGGGGAGGGCATGGTGGGCTGCAGGCCGTCATAACCCAGGTGCAGTGGGAGGTAGCCAGGACGCACTATGGCAGGGGTGGGAGCCGAACTGACGGCAGGCTTTGGAGGAGAATCCTGTAAGAAAGATAATCAGCCAGCTAAGCACAAAATAATTAAAAAAGCAACACTGTTTGCTTCCAAAAGCAATGTCATCCAGGCATGACTCTTTGTTTAGTTCAGTTACTGTTAAATACACAGTTTAGTGAAATGATGTCTCTATAGTGGCCACATGAATGCCAAATGTGTGCTAGCATACATTACTACAAACTATTTTATATTCTAAGTATTCTACAAAACGTCTCAGACCACTAGTGATAATGCTTAAATTTAGCATTTTAATTAATTTAATTATTTGCATACTTAAATAGTTAAAAATTATTAAATTAAATTATTTTAACTTGTTTTTCAATCATTTGTTATTACAAATTATATTTTCAATACAAGTGAAATGTTCAATCTAAAAGTTTATATAAATGTCATAATGTCTTTGTATGTGATTGGTCCTCCTTTTTCCAGAACTCAAACTGCATGAACTCTACAAATTTGTGTAAAACCTGATTATCATATCCTCCATGATTTGAGAATGATCTAAAGAGGATCTTGTGCTTCAGTGGAAGAACATCTGACTGTCTGTACAAAAATACACATGATCAATGTCATAATCTTAAATGTTCATTTTACGTGTTTCAAAATCCTAACATTCTAGGTTTAAATCAGGCTTTGAATTGCAGATTTCCAATGTGGTTTCAGATTTTTGGACTTTTTGGTTTGCTTTTGGTTTTGCTCTAGCAAGTCTGGTTTGCATAAAGCATGTACCTTTCCTCTGCTGACGGGCTCTTTGCTGCTGTCTGACATGCTGGAGATGGAGTCAGGGCTGGCAGGCGGAGAAGAGTCCACCTCCACGGGGTCCTCCTCCTTCACCTTAATGTCTGAAGGCGTCTGCAAACTCATGTCAAGTGCTCCTGAATTAGGAGCAGGCAACTGCATGGAAAAAAGAAAGACAGATGACGAACGCGACAGACAGAGAAGGAGAGAGTGAGGCGAGACAGTGTTACACATGAGAACTGATAGGGAACTCTGCAGTCCATAAATCTGAGTTTTTGGCAGCAGGCAGCCGAGCTCCTCATGTTTGGAGCACGTCTGACAGTATGACTGAATCCCTCCACCCAGTCCCATAGCTCACCGGGTTCTTGGCCCTCTTGTCCTCATCTTCCTGGGCCTTAGGGAACTCCTGCTCGAATGAGCTGGCCAGCTCATTGAACAGGCCCACCTCTTCACAGTTTTTCAGGAAACGAGTGGGAGTCGGCGTCTGGTCTGGAGTACAGAGCGAGAAACAGAGAGATCTCATTGTTTCCTTATGCAAGACGGCCTCAAGGACAGTATAAACTCTGCCACGCAGCTAAACGGCTGTACGTACCAGTACTAACCAAATCTGCTTGCGATTTAACATGATAAATCTGGGAGAGTTCAAGGCTGTTATTACATTTGTGTTTTTTCCCAAGGGTTTAATGTGACAAAAAAAAAAAAAAAAAAAACAGCACGTTGTGAATTTTCCCCCTTAAAATTACTAGCTTAAGGGGACTTAGCTTCACTCTACAGCTATAAAGTAATGATATCGAATTACATTGTTAAATCTCTGTAGTATTTGTTTTGTCAGTGCCATTAAAACAAGCATTCCAAGTTACCATTAACCACAAAAGAAGTGACAAAAAACATGCACATAAATATGGGATGGATGGTAGAAACATGCACCAACCAAAGACAAATTAATAATCACTAGAGTATTTATTTTATACATATAAAGATTCATTCATTATTTCTATAATTTAATAATAAATCAAGTTACATAATAATTACATCATTAAAACACACATATATTTTAAGCCTAACTTTTTTAATGTTTTATATTAAAAATTATATAATATATATTAGTGCTGTCAAACGATTAATCGAGATTAATTGCATCCAAAATAAAAGTTTTTGTTTACATAATATATGTGTGTATACTGTGTATATTTATTATGTATATATAAATACACACACATGCATGTATATATTTAAGAAAATGTGTTGTTTATATATTAAATATATTTATATATAATATAAAATATAAGAATATATAAATGTATAAATGTATATATATATATAAGTAAATATTTTAAAAATATACTGTATGTGTGTGTATTTATATATACATAGTAAA